AGCAGTGCTTTACATACTGGGTATTTAGCAGTAGTGTGGAGGGTGAAACACTAACTGTACACCATACTCTCTGCCTCTTTAAATATTCATTGGTGAGTAACCATCTATGGAGCCTCATAAAGAATTAACTCTTTAAATGGGGAAGATCTCTGCTTAAGTGCATAGCACAAATCCTACATGATTTAAATCCCACACAATCCTATTAAAATCCAAAGAGTTTCCAGCTGTTTGCGTTGTTCACTATCTAATATTAACACCTGGTTTTGAAATCCTGTGCAAGCAGTATTGCTCTATTACAATAGAAAAACAGGAGAAAGTAAATTCGACCTTCTCAACTGATTTGGGGATATAAGTAAATTACGTCTAAATCTTGAACCTCAATGCTGAATCAACTTCCTGGTTTACTACTTTTCAACAACTTCCATCTTATGTATTACGTATCAGGTTATTCATAGAGCTTGAACAATTGTGCTACATCTCCTGAACTGACATTTCTGAATTTGAAGATAATAGTATGAATTTCCCTGAATACTGGCTAATGAGTAGTATGTGTGCAGAAGTGCCAGACTGAGAAACTCACTTATTTTGTGAAATACATATTCCAAATGTCATATTCATTTGGAGGATTAGTTTCTATTTTTTTTTTTTTTTCTTCCATTTTCAGCTGTTCAACTTACCTAACTGACCTGAGTGTAAGCAATCTGTTAGGCCAATGAAACTGTTGGTGTGAAGCTACTGCATCAAAGATACATGACTGCAGTACATCATAATTATACCTGAACTTTTAAAAAAAAGTAGATAGAAATGGGCAAAGCTGTGAAAGAATATTTGGCCTTCATACATATTCACTACTATCTGTAAATAAGTAAATTTTACATGAGAGATTGCATCCAATGACAAGGGTCAAGGCTTAATACTCCTTCTAGAGTGCAGGCAAGAATCTGACGTGTTTTACATACTTTAAACGAGACACTAATAATCCAAAGACCAGCGCTGACCAATCCTGCAGGTACCAGCTTACACATCACAGATGCTCAAGCTCCCTTAAAATTTAAAAACAGGAAAGGCATCTTCTAAGATGAAGTCCACTGTCTATGAATAACCCCAGCCATTATTCACAATACAGCAATAATGACTTGACTCAAACCTATTCAGAAATCAGCAGATCGTCTCTTTCCTCTTCACATAGATGTGCAAGCTAAATATAAAAAGGATAAAGGTGAAAGAGTTGCGTGCCAATTATGCCAAAACATACAGAAATACTGTCAGATGTGATAATATTTTCTTTAGACTCATCTTCCGTCAAATTTTACCTTTCTTTACTAAATTCAAAGTACCTTTATACATAAGAGACATCAGAAACGTCATTTGATTGCTGCCACCACATTTCTGCCTCTGTTGCTAGTTGTGCAAGTGTGCAGTGCGTCTTTCATTGCTACCAACAGGAAGAAATCCAATTAGCCAATGAACTCCTCACTCCTTGAATTCAAAACATAGAATTTTTTTTTTCACAAATTGGCTATTTGCCTTTTGGAAGGCAGATGTGAAGGACCTAAGCAGGTAGAAGATGTGTTCAGAAGCAGATGCATGTAATAGAATTAGCAACAATATACATTAATTTGGTACCCTCATAAAGTTATTCTGTTAATATACTTCAAGTATCCACTTAAGTCATACTTAGATGTGAAGTAAATGGTTTCAAGAGTCAACAGATTAATTTCATAAGTTAATTATTAGCTTTGCAGCATTCTTAACCATTCCAGCTCTAGGGAATTTAGCACAATAGCAGTACATGTAGTGCTACAGGACGGCCCACTTACAGTGTTTACTACCCTTTGGATAGCTGTTTGAAGTTGTATTAACAAGGCATCACAATGGAAGTGATACCTGTAAAGTACGTGAGGACACGCAGTCCAAAAGATGCATTCACAGTACTACATCTACTACATGATAAAAAAAGTAGAACATTTACATCTGTGACTTAGAACATGGAAAATGAGCTTGCTTGCAGAGACCAGGCAACATGGTGTAATTAAAAGTGTGTTTGAATTTCCTCATTCTGAGCAGCTTTGTTGAAGTTCAGGCATGAAACTGCTCATGATGGGGAAAACATGCAGAAGAGGAAGGCCTTCCAGCTTTCAGTGTCTGTGTGTACTCACCAGTAAATATGCTCCTAATCCATAGGAAAATGTGGTGGGAAGTTCTAGGTTTTATTACAGGCTAGCTGTAGCAGGCATAGCTTTCCTATGGCAAGGGTGTGTACATGCAAGTCATTCTTTCGAGTTTTAGGTACTTGGTAACATCCTAAAGTTCTGCTTCTCAAACTCATGCTAGTCAGAAATTGTAGTATCTCCCCTGCGTCATCGTCTGAGTACAGCCTGGAGTGTGCTAGATAAAGCCCTTTTTCTGGACTTTGTTACTATAAGGGACTATGTGTCACAGTCTATGATTACAAAAGGCTGGAAGCAATGTCTCTACATTAGCTTTTCAAAATTATCATTCCACTGAAATGTTTTCAAATGCATTTTGAAGGTTGCTATTATCCACGTTGTTTCCATTTCTATATTTGGAGTCGTAATAGTGTTTTACCTCAGAAACAAGCTATTGTGGGGTAATTAGACCCTGCACAAACTGTTCTGCAGTAACTGCAGAAGGCATGAACTTGTTAACTTACACAACAGAGGGTACATGAAGAAAGCAGAGCCCTCTGTGATTGACGAGACAGCAGCCTAGGTAGCAGACACAGTAGAATGAATGTAGTGCACAGGCCATTGGCACACACTGACATATGTCTTTATGAGAATGTTTGGCTTCTGAAGTACATAAGCTCTCTTGAAAAAAAAAAAAAACAAAAAACAACCATGAAGTCATTGGTAATTTTTCCATCCCTCTGCTTGCTAGGACAAAAAATCTTATTAACCTGGTCTAGCATTAAATGTGGAGGTTGGTGGCCCTGTATGTGGCAGGGGGGTTGGAGATTCATGATCTTTGAGGTCTCTTCTAACCCTGGCCATTCTGTGATTCTGTGAACCTAGTGATCACAGGGCCCTTTTGACTCCATCTATTGAAATGACAATACAGAACGTTTTCTGATCTTATTTGCAGTTCTAATCTGTGTATTCACATTTACATGTTTACTTAAAATATCTGTGTGCAAGTGATGGCATCAACAGCACAGTCACGGCTTTTGCTTATTGCAGTGTATCACTCCTAATGCTCACAAGACTGGAAAAATTGATGATGGTAATGTTTGATTAGAAACTGCTTAGTAGTCTTTTTGCTCTCTGGCTAGATGTGCCTATCTCCTGTTGTCACCCTTCTGAAAGCACGCATAAGGAGCAAGAAGGATCCCTACATGCAGCGCTTTGCTTTGTCTTTGTTTAGGATTCCTGCCTGTCTGTTCATTTTGGGAAACTTGAGTGCTCTGTGATCCAGTGGGAAAATCCCTCATGTGAGCAGCACCTCAGCTCTGTAACAGCTTGCTTGGCTGTGCCTGGGAGCAGAGTGAGCACACATTCCACCTGGTCCAGACAGAGGTCCAGCACAAGAGAGAACCTGGTGCTGGCAGTGCAGTGAAGGTTCCAGTTCCTACTGGGACCTCACTGAGGGGCTGAGCTCCCCTCTGGATAAATACCAACAGCAATTCTGGGGAAATGCTCTCTGTGGGAGGATTTAGGTACCTATCAACCAAATCCTTTTAGAGTCTAGGGCTGAACCAATAACACATTTACTCTTTCCCTTCTCACCAGGGAGACTGCAGCAGTGTCCCAGCAGTGCTGGGAACAACACGAACAGGGAATGATATTATTGCTGGGAGAGCTCTTCTACAGAGGCTGTGTTACACAGGGGATACCTTAGTTCTCCTCCTTGGAGTACAGCATTCAAAAAAAATCCCAAAGCCTACGTCAGAATTCTACCCACACAGACTCTTGCTACTTGCACTCTGGAAACCCAGTTTTAACTGCAGACTAACATAGCAGCTTTCATACATTATACCAGGCACCCAGTGCCTTTTAAACTCAGGCCAACACGGACCTTCCCTGTCAGGCAGCTGTTCTGCTCACATGGTATTTTCTAAGCCTCTACCCAGCTGTAAGCTCCAAGTGATGAGGACCTCCCTGTTTTGATACATTTACCCAGCACACAGCATCACTGTGGAAGTCTACAGGAAGATCTGGCAGCTGCTACCATGATATCAATCATAAGTAAGTAGCAGAGGATCAGTAAAATCATATTTTCCAGGAAAGCTGCAGAGAATATTCATTATCTATGGATACTACTTTCCTCCCCTTTCTACTCAATCTTCCGAGTCACATATTGGCAGGCAGAAAAACTTCTCATCTACTGGTCCATGCCATTTGAGCTGGATGTTGGTTTTCAGTAAGGTACACTGAACCACGTTTAGTAATCAATAAATAAAAGGCTGGAAAAACAAACACAAAAAGAACACTTTCTGGGTAGTGTACAAAAGGATTCTCGTGCCAAAGCTGTCACTTACATCCCATTTCAACTACTGGCTCGTTAAACAGTGAAAGTTCACTGATGGGTCTGCTAGAGCGGAAGAGGGAAGTGGAACATCTGAAGTCTCCCACCAAAATTGTTTTCTCTGGACAAGTGAGAAAATAAATCGTTCCAGCCATGAATGTGAAAATAACTAAAATCACCTGTTGGCAGCGATCCCCTCCCTGACCCCCTTTCCTCCTCCAGGTCCATAGAGTAATAAGGAGATGAAAACACAAACCAAATTCCTCAAACCCAACCATCTCAAAAGGCAAGTGTTCCCCACTTCAGACCCCCGAGCCTCCCGGGTGACAGGGAGAATTCCATAGTAGGAATGTCAGAGCAGACACTGCAATCGGAGGTGGCTCACAGCACTCCGCTGCTGATCCTGCCACAGAGCTTCAAACACAAATCAGAGCAATGCATCTTTAAAAAAAAAAAAAAAAGAAAGAAAGAAAAAGAAAGAAAGGAAAGAAAAGAAATAAGAGAGATCCAAGTACCTTAGATTCCTGACTGGTGGTTGATGCTGGAGATGGAGGTTGCTCTGTGCTCTCCACTTCATTCTCTTTCTCCACACTGTCCACGCTGACTTCAGTCATGCTGCTCGGAGGAATCATTTTCCCTCTAAAACACTGCTAGTATCAGGAAAACGAGCTACAGACCTTTCTTGCTTTTTCTCATTTAACGTCCTCTTTCTTCTCAGCTCTCCTCGAGCAAATGAACTCTGACCACTCAGTTTCACTACATTTGCAGGACTAGAATTCTCTGGATTTTCTTTTTTTTTTTTTTTTTTCCTTCTCCTCCTCCTCCTCCCCTTCTTTCCTCCCTCCTCCCTCCCCTCCCCTGTGTGGTTCTGCTGCACGGGAAGCAAGTTATCGACAGCTCCGTAGGGCAGTTGTGTGCCAGCTTCTCCGTTTCCCCCGATCCTTCTGTCCTCAGCGTGAAGCCCGGAGGTGAGGAGCAGCGTCGTGACCATCAGCCCGCAATCAGCTGAGAGTGAGGCAAAGCAGAAAGCCCCAGCCACACACATACAGGGCACTGGAGGGAGGAGTTGGATTTCTAATGCTGTAAATAGCTTTGGGGAGCGTGTGCTGTCATAGTAGTGTAAGAAAGTAATGTGTGCGTGCATGCACACACACACACAGGGGCATACGGCATGCATGAGGTATGGGAGCATTTTACCTTTTATTCAGGCTGAAGGGCAGCGTTATATTCTTACAGATCTGGTGATTTTCTGCAGAAGGGCTCTAAGGGAAAAGCAACACTCTCCTTACTTTGTCCCAGAGAAGACGATTAAAAATCCTAGCTACTGATGTCTCTTAAGCACCCACGCTTTGCCCTACACCCCAAAGCAACAGGACAGAGCCAGAGAGGGGCACCTGTGGCTCTGAGTGCTTTTTACCCTTCTCCTAGGCGGGGCACCCCGGCTCTGAGCCGTGCACATGCAATCAGGGTTTGCCGGAGCTCCCGGCGCTGCGCAGATCCGTACCTGGAGGTTGTCATAGTAATAACACTCGGTTGGGTTGCAGTGGGAAAGCTGTCGGCATCCCCAGGCGCCGTCTTTCGCGAGGATGCAGTGCCCAAAGTCACTCTCGGAGCTGCGGTAGCCCTGGCAGAAGGACGGCATGACTTTGCTGGCAGGCTCAACCCACGCCTCTGGGTTAAATGAGCTGCAAAGGCACCTGTATGCTCTCCTCCCTGCTGACTTCAGGTCTGCGTGGCAAAAGGGTGAACGGATGTGTTCGCAACACGTGTATGCTTTGTGGAGTAGGATCCACTTCGTACAGCTGGGGGAAATGTCTCTTTATATTTCAGGGGAAGAAAAAGTAAAAGCAACCCCAGTGTGCTTCCAATTATCAGTACTTACATCCCATAATGCAAGAAGAAAAAAAAAAATTCTTGATACAGGCAAAGGTGTTTGGAGGTAATGCACTGACATCTGAGCCAGAAAGGAGCTCAAGAGAGGGTACCACATTCACTTTGGTCCTACCCCTTAGAAACGTTCTTGCTACCTAGGGCTGCCCTGAAGAATTGCTCTAGCCCAAATGATCTGTGGGTGAAAGCAAAGCAGGATTTCAAGGCACTAGGGGGTTGTACAGATGAAAGCCAGAGCAGAAAGTGCCCTGCAGCCTCAATATTCTTTATAACTATGCTGAAGTCTGGAAAAAAACTACACTTTTCCTTGAATCTCTGGTTTAAAAAAAAAAAAAAAAAAAAAAAAAAGCATTTTTCTTTGAAATAGAGCATATAAGATACTGAAATCTTTAGGAGGCAATAAACATGAAATGCTGCAATGCTATTTGTACCACCACTTTAGAGCAAAAGTGTGTCTTAGGAGTCTGCTGGCAGAATCCATTATTTGGCCTCACTAACACCATTACAGGGATCAAAACAAGAACACTGGTCGGTGTTGAGGCAGTTTCAGTGACATCTGAGATTGAAGCAAGAAAACAGAGCTCAGAGGAGCAGATTTGGCAGATAAGTGAAAGAATTGATTTCCAAGGGTTTGATATCTAAAGCACAGCAAAATCTTTGGCTGTTCTCTTCAGAGCCAGAGCAACTCTCCAGGCACAAAGCTCACTTCTTCCATCCAGTAAGTGAGATTTAGGTCCTAGCAATGACCAAGGACTGGGCTGAGTCTCAATTTCGGAGAATTAGGGCAGCTGTAGAACAACAGAGATCTTGACAGCAATAGAATGATCCAGCTCTGACAGTGGTAACCTTCCTGATGGTCAAACCTAGTGCAGCCCATCAAGGCAAGGGCACAAGTCTGCCTGCTGCAAGGGCTGCTCTGCCCAATAACACGATAGGTGAGAATAACAAAGCTGTTTTTCCATCCCATTCCTCAGCAGTGCTGTGAATCAGTCGTTCCTGTTGAGAGACTCAAAAGCATCTTCTTATGGTGAACTGCAAGCCACCTCTGAAGTGCGTCTGGAGTGGCTGGTTAATAGTTAACACTCTCAGCGTTGTAAAATCCTGCACACATTTTGTATGAAGTGCTTGTAGCGTCATGACTGTGAAAGTGACTATCATACCACTCTCTACTCCTCTTTTTTTTTTTTTCCCCCGTTTGTTTTACCAAATTAGTACTAACACCTGCTGCACTCCCTCTCTTCTCCCAATTACTCACTTGTCAACCATGAGTGATCTGTCACTTTCTTGACAATTAGCCTGGGAAAGATGAGTCAAACCAAAAATCTTACCAAAAAAGCAAAAAGGGAAGGAAGCTGGATTTTTTCACATTTTTATTTCCTTCCATGGGAGCTGGCTATTGAAAAATGAAATATTCGGGATAACAAAACAGACTGATCAAATTAGATGAGCTTACATCTCCCTCTCTCTCCCACGCTTCACTCTTGAGAAGTTGGACTTGTGATTAGCGCCGATCAGTCTCTGAGTGAAGGTACTCAGCAGAAATGTGAGCGCTGCAGCACGGCGCTAAATGAGAGGAAATTGAACAGATTCTCCAGTGAAGAGATGAGTGTAGATTTCTGGAGTGGGGAGAGGAAATTCGGATGAATAAAACATGAGGATGGATTCTCCGCCCCCAGCTGAAATTGTTGCACTGTGTAAAGGTGCTTGGATGCTGCCTGGAGTCATCGCCAAGCATTCTCGTGTTGGGCAGAGCAAGGCTGAGGACATGAGTGCTATGCCTCACCTGTGTCCAAGCACACACATGAGGGTGATGGGGTGTGATGCAGAGCACATGACGTGGTGCTGGAGATCCAGTTCTCCAATGAGAGCATCCCAGAAGCTCCCAGCACAGGAAAATATACTCTCATTATCAATACACATTTTTGTACTGCTGAGTCCTACCTGCTCTTAAGCTCCACAGTGGCGAGGTTAAGTTGATGTAGATCTTTTGGCCTATACCATATTTCTTCACCTTCTTCCTCTAACATATTTAGGCATCTTTCTGCAAAAAGAGTCCATATACACAGCTGTATTTCACTGAGAGGAAAGTTATGAAATCAGCACTTATTTTTTATATATATATATATATATATAAATAACAAGGATGTTATACCCACTTGGACACACCCCATGTAATTACTAGAGAAAAATAAGTAAAAAAAAAAAGAAGAATTCATTATTCAGCAAATAACGAATGTATGTGTCATTATTCTGCCTGGCACATAAACCATCTCACAGTCCTGAGCAAAAAGAGTATAAACGTGCTTACTGAGATAATGCTACTAATAAATGGCACTTCTAAACCCCTACGTACCTCTCCCCAGTGATGTACAAAGCAGTACAGGAATCAGGAGGAATCAGGATGTCTGCCACCAAAGCAGAGCCCTCAGAGGAAAGAGTATTGAAGTTCACTGAAAGTCCAACATCCAACTGGCTGCAGACTGAGTGCTACAGAAAACCATTAGCCACAGAATAAGGTTGACTTTCTGGCATTTGAAGTGCAACTTAATCAGCCCCTCTCTCAGTCCCTCAGTTCAATTTGTGAGTGTTCCAGGTGAGAAATAGTAGCTTCAGTTCTTATTCAATCCAATTTTGTCTTTGTGGAAACTGGCAACAGGCTATGCCTCTATTGCTTTTCGTGATGGGAATTTTACTTTTGGCATGGTGCATTTGGCCAGACATACTGGTGGATGTCTTCAATAGGCTGTGCTCTCAGATATTCACTATTGCCCACAGCTGGCTACCAGATGGCAAAGACCAGATCATTGTGCTAGCAGAGAATTTGCCTGCATTTCCAGGCTGGCGGGCACTGCTCTGCCAGCAAACACTGTACCCACAGAGAAAACAGTGGTAAAATAGCAGAAGGAGGCTGTTTTTGTTGCTTTGTTTGTAGTGACATACCTCTTGCTTGCTACCAATACAACCTTGGCAGTTCGTCAGGTGGCTAACATGGTAACAACTGCAACCACCTCCCTCAGGATTTTGCTTATGAAAATGCCATCCAAGGGCTACAGTCACCAGCTCATCAAATTGGAAGCAGAAACCAGACAATGCTCTGAAAGCATTCCAAGAGCTAATGGGATAGTGATGACTTGCATTTTGACTACAGTGATCTCAAAATACATTTTCGAGTCAAAGTAGTAAGCCTCCTATTGCACCTGGGAGTGATTGTACTGCAGCAAGGGAGTAATGGAGGAGGAAGCCAAACAGATTTGCGCTTGCACTTAAGCACAGAGAAAAATGGAACCTCTGCTTGAACATAAATTTCAAAACCTGCCTTCTCTCCATACACTGCAGTGCTGCAGGGAGTGATGCAGAAACCATGCCGCATCTCGGGCAACTTGAATTTATCTTTCAGAGCGATCACGATGAGATTAAAATACTGCTACCCAGACATCTAGTTCAGGAAAACAAAGAAAGCAGCATCCTCTTGTGACAACAAAAGTTGTTGTTGAAGAGGAGAAGAGGATGTAATTACAAAACATGGAGTTTAGCCAAGATACAGCATGTAATATATTTAGGCTTACAAAAAGCTTTTCAATACCTTTAAATAACTAGCGACAGTCCCGACCTGATTTTACATCTCTGCTAGCAGTGAGATTCCTTCTCTCTTTTTATAGGAATGTGATTAAAAAAAAGAGACCCATGGAATCAGTAGCGCCACTTCATGCAAGTCACAGATGCTCCTAGAAATTCATGGCATTTAATAGCCATTTCCTGAAGCAGTCCAATATGACTGTAGTGAGAATGCCCTGACCCAGTTCAGCGAGTGGCTGCGATGGTGATTCATCTACACAAGCACAACGTACTAAATCCTTTCAGAGTATCTGTGCTCCACATATTTAGAGAAATAAAGTTATGATAACTAATGTACTGATCTCTCCCACTCTCTCTGGACTCTGCTTTAACCTCACTTCTGTTCCCCAGGATGAAAGGCTTTATGGAAAGTGGGATTCTTCTTGATAGCTCTCAGTACAACTCTGGAGAGACTCCTATCACCTCAATCAACTCTATCTACTTTTTTTTCCTCAGCCATTTCCAGGGTGGAGCGGGAGGAAATCCTCACAGGGTAACCAGCCTGGATCTTGGGGGTATTATTTTTTTTTTCCTGAATGACTTTCATTGGGAGGGAACTTTTAGTCACTTTTCTTTCCTTAACCTTCCCCAACCTGAATTCTCCTTGAAATTCCTTTGTCCAGTTGTTATCCTTTCCAGTCAAGAGTACTACAACTTTCAGGGCTTCAGTGGATTTGTCTTACGTACCTGCTTTCTCCATCACTCTGGTATTCAGTAGTGCATCATAATGAGCTGCTTCTTAACTAATGCCAGCTAAAATGCATTTAGAGCAATGTTTTGCTTAGTCTGTAAACAGAATCTAAAACAAGCACTGGCAAACATTCCCAGCATAGTTAGTGATGAATACAAGGATATGTATATGCTTTTTTTTTTTTGTGCATATATCTTATGGCTATGCACCAATTCTTAAAAGGGTGTGCGTGCACAGTATTTCCTGCCTTAGGTAGTTAGAGTGTGCCTGTCACTGTAATATTTAGGCACAAACATGCATGCTGAATGCAAAATGAACTTTGCTGTCTACACAGCTGTGTTACCATAATTTGCATAGAAAGAAAAAAAGGATTTCTTAGCGCGCCGCCGACCTTTGTTAGAAAAGCAGGGCTTTTCTACAGAGTGTGGCACAACTCAGTTGTTCACAGCAAATCTCTAAGAGCCTTTGGATCTGGTAGGATGAAAGACTTCACGGAAACATCAGAAATTATCATTATCAAGATTAACATTTTGCTCTATCAGATTAGTGCATGTGTCAAATGGAATAGAAGCGTGTATGATGAGGGCTGCCTACTATTACATAAGTTATTATAATGATCTATTACAGCTCTTGAACAAAAATAAAGAAAACATTCAGCCTGCTATGAATTGAATGGAAAGATGTCTTACAGCCCACATATATAGCTTTTGTTTCTTGAATGTTGATAAGATGCAAAGCTTGAAAGATACTAAAGGAAAATGGGCTGTGCTCTCTCTACATAGTTACCAATTCTAAATAAAAACATGAAGTAAACTTTTAGAAGAGCAAAAAAAAAGAAAAAAAGGTAAACCTTACAATACTGCAAGAGATTATCTGTAATGTTTTATATTATTTGATTTTAAAGTAATTAAACTCTTATAATCTAATGCAAAATGGTTGTAGGAATGTTTGTCTTCCTGACTATTACTATTCTGATTC